TAGCATTCTAATTGAATTATTTGATTTTTATTTTATTTATGAGCACACATTCTATGTGGTGTAACATATATTCGAACATCGATACAAGAGAATTGAATTGAAATAAAAATGAACAACAACGTTCAGCACTTATTTAATGTTGTAAATCAAGAGATAGTTAAGTTTCATTTCAGCACAGCAAACACAACAACAAAAAAAAGTTCATTCAATTAATATTAAATTTCCGGCTTTCATGCTGCTAAACTGATCTGTGTGTTTATTTTTTTGTGTTGTATCATCAACACCAATAGTGCTGTTGCTAATAAGGTTCATAATCTATTCTTTATGTCCATCTATCCCCTTTAAGGATTTTTTGCAATAAATTAGAAACGGAGAGGAAGAAAAAAGATGTGTGAATGCAGTAAAAATAACATAGCTCAAATCATTAATTTTAGTGCTGGGCTGGCAATTTCCATTTCAATAATCTTCAATCAATTAAATGGAAAATAACAATGAATGAATTCAATATTATTATTACTCTATATAGATAGACACTGAGCACTGCAGAGAGTGAAGAATCTATGTATGTAAGTTTATACAGCTCTCATGCTATGCGACTATGCGACTGAGAAGCTGAAGGCGATAATTGATCAATAAAAAGAAGATGAAAATGAAAATTTCCAAGTATCTTTGGTACACAAAGTAAGGAAGGAAGAGATGGAAGGCAAAAAAAATAGAAATTCTCCTAATAAAATTAAATGACACGAAATGGAACGCATCCTGGAGAGACAAGAAAATGAAAATTAATGAAAAATGCTAGCTGATGTTGATATACACTCAGTATGGAGTGAAGCTTTTCACATTCAGAATGGGAATAAGGGAGAAAAAAAATTGAAAATCATTTTTTGTTGAAAATCCTTCTTAATTAAAATCACAAGAAGAAATGGAAAAAAATTTCATCAAATTGCATAGTTCCTCGAGAAATTCTTATCATTTTTTTTAAATGGATAGATAGATATGTTAAATATATGAAAAGTGAGACGAGAATAATTTTCCATAAAAGTCATATCAGATGAAAAATAATCGGTACATTATTATAGGCAGCATCAGCCGACAATAATCATATAAATAAGAAAAAGGAGTTTATGGAAAAGTCATTCAAATGAAAATATTTCTAAACTCACTAACATATCTAGATCGCACCCCCACCCTCTCTCCCACAATAATATCCCCAATGACTAACACTGGGCTCAAATGTAGAGCTATATACATGAAATATAAATAAAATGTATTATAAATGGATGGAAGATTGATGTAAAACCGATATAAATCATAAAAAAAATCAATAACAAATTATCAAATCAAAATTTATGGCTTTTCTCTCTCAAATTTTTTTTTTGTGATTTTCTTTGAATCCTGTTGGATATCATTGTTATTTACAGTCAAGCTATCAGATAGCAATATTTAAACACGTATTTAAAACAGAAAAATTCCATCAACAGCAACGCTCACACACACACACACAAAAAGTTTTCTATTCAATTTTTTTATCGCTCAATATTACCGCATCGTAATGGATATAATAGAAAAAGCATTTTTCTGGCTTCTTAGCCGAGTATGTTGGCTTTTATGACCCAATTTTTGAATGTATTTTCCCTCCACTCTGCCATATTTGTCGATTTAAAGAGCATTAAGAGACTCAGGTTAATTATCAAACAATTTTCGTATCAACTTTCAATTTTCGTTTAATGTGTGCTGTTTATACAAGCGGTCCATAGGGATATTATCTGAATCTACTTCCATTCCCTCCACTTAAAGTCATCATAACAGCAAAAGCAATTACGATAAAATTATCTGTTAATTTTCAACCTAAACTTGGTCATCATCCTATACGTACAAAACATGCATTTGAATTTTTATGTGTATCTGTATGCATAGCTCTATGAGATCATAAATTTAATGAACTTTTTTTATTTTCAAGAGGGTAAATCTAGAAAAGTTTCTATTTTCCTTGCCATACATCCTCTTATGTATGTCGGACAAAACAAACCAACAATTTTTGCAACGTAATGTGCATGTTTGTGTCGGACACATTTGGAATGAGTGAAGTTGGAAGAAAAAAAATATATAAATTTCATTAATTGAATCAACCCTCTTGGAAAAAAGAGAATATTCTTCTTCTTATTTGATTTTTATTTTCAATCCCATAGGCCGTAAGCTATTATCAGCACTCACATATGTATAATAAATTTTGAGTCAGGCTGGATTTGAATTGCACAAAATGCACATACAAAAAGCCTCAATTTTTTTTTTTTATTTTTTGCTGTCCAGACAGCAATGTACACAGCATCATAGGAATCATAATGCAAGTATGTATAGGCAGAGAAAAAAAATATCCTATTTTTTGAGATTCAAAACATAACACATAAGTTGCATGTGTGTATTATGCAATGATGGTATTTCAATTAAAATGGCAATGGCTTGTTGTGTACTGCAATGTGCTTTTTTATATCCTCCTTTTTAAAAAAGAATTGATTTTATGTTTGTGAACAAACAATGAAAATAGTGGCAGTTGAAATGGGGAGAAAGGAAATTGTCAGTAAAAATGGACATTGAATTTAATTAAATTCCTTATATGTAAATAAATATTAAAAAGAAATCAAACTTTTTTGCCATCCACAAACGTTACGTAGCAATAAGTTTTGCTGATTAAAGCCAAAGTCCTAGTCAACCTTTGCCACACCACTAACTGCACAATCAACTTTTAAAAAAATATTCTCTAAACAATTAATATAAAGTCTCTTCCACATGACTGTTTTAAAAATATGGCAATATACCCTGGGTGGATAGATGACGATGAGGAAAAACTCAAACAAGAGTAAAATTATATTGAATTGGTTCGGTTGTGATTCAGGCAAGAGAGATGAAGAGGAAAAGGTTTGTGTGCTTTTTTGCTTGTGTATATACAAAATTTCAGGAAGTAACTTGATGGAAATATATTCTTTACTTACCCATGTAAACTTTCAAACAATTGAACATCATCATTATTATAATTTTTTTTTCTGTGTTGCTCGTTTCACTCTTCTCGAATTCTCGCGTACGTAAAAAACTTTTTTTTATTTATTTATTGTTACTTTCTATGTCAGGCACTAAATAACAACTCTGAGCTTAATCGATTAGAAGGCAATCGGGTGAGTGAGTTGATTTACTTTTTTTTTACTCATGTTTAAGGTTTTAAAAAAAGTATTGGAGATTTTCAACTGTATCTCAGGCAACTGTTGGGATGCCAATAAAAAAATTTCATTTTTTCATCGCGAAAAATTGCAGAACCAAAAAAGTTTTTAAAAAAATTATAAAAATTATTCGAAGGCACTTTCAGTTCTTAATCTTAAAAATGTTCCTCTTTTAAAGCAGGAAATTTCAAAAAAGTGTTTTGCTGAATATTTCCTTTTTTTAATCGGTAACTTAACAGGAAATATCGCTTGCTTCTCTTCGGCTGTATGTTATAAGTAAGACTCAAGTAACAATTTTATTCTTTTCTTATAAAATATTATATTAATTTCTTAATATTTTTTAAGTGGGAGCTCAATAGAGCTACTTCTTGCCACGACAACAACAAATAACTGACTGAAGTAGCAACGATCAAGACAGGCACTGGAGAATTTTTAAAAAGTCACAAATGTGAAAAACAAGAAGACGAAAAAAAAACTTCACTTTTTTTTATTTTATTTTTCACAACACAAGAAATTTTAAAATAATACTTTTCTTCTACTATTTTTCAGGAGAGACGGTGTTGTTACCTCGCTAGTTAGGCCTAGAATGACGACAACTAAACAGTTGACAGTGGAGACCCTTATTGTAACGAGGAGAAGATATTTCTCTATCATTTCATCTCACACGAATACAGTCGTAGAGATTTTTATAGCAAAACTGACGCAAAAATTAAAATTTCTATGAAAATTCAACATCAACTTCTCCTTATTTATTGCATTGCGCATGACAAATTCATTTTGAATATTCGAGAGGGGATGAAAAACATTTTTAACCCTCACCACTCGAACGACCGACGAGAATCAGTTTCATGTGTAAGATGAAAAAAAAAAACATTTTAATGTGAGCGAGGCGAGGGGAAAACAAGAATCTGATTTTCTTTATTAAATAAAAAGCCGGTTCCAACATGAAAAACATCCACAACCCCAAAATTGACTTTATGAAATTATTAAATTTTACATTTCGAGCAAAAGTTTCGTAACCAAATATCCTCGATTGGGGACATTTTCTCGCTCTCTATTTTTACCATTCTTGGCGTGATGCCGCAAATTATGCTAATTTATGATGCTCCTTTAATCCTTGAAACATAGTCACAAAGGAAAAAAAATTCTCGCAATGACAAATTTATCGAGGACAAATCGGATTATGAGTCGTAACAATGCGTGGCTCGAGAATTATTTAAATAATTTTTTTTTTAAATTCATCATCTAATCACTGATATCCAGCGTAGGTAGAATGAGAGTGATGAAACTTTTTCACACCAAACATGCTTGTAATGTGTCGAAATTGAAAATAGAAATAAGAAGAATGACAGACGACTGGCGCCGAAGCTTGACGTTTGGAGCTTTATAGCTTTATGTCATGGAAACAGAAGAGTATAAGAATGAGGAAAAAAAGTCCCTCAAACAAGAGAGAAAGACTTAGCTCGGTTGGATAAATTTAAGGCAGTATAATGGAAATTAATGATGGAATGCTTCCAAAATGATCACCATGGTGTCCAAGAACGAGTGAAGGAAGAAAGGAAATTATTTTAAAAGCAACCATTTGACTCCAGGAATCTACATAAAAATCTCATTTTCTCTATTACTATGGATAATACATTAAAAATATCTACATGAGCAGAAAGATTCTAACAATTGTCCAGGATATGAAGGGGTAAGGAGGAATCCTTATTTTATGATTCCTCAATTTCTTCTTCTTGTCGATTTATTGAGTAGGAAATGTAATCAATTCTAAACTTATGTACTCACCTTATTGTGAAATTTACTTTTTTTCTTTAAAGAAAAATGAAATTGTCAACAATCAATAATCTCTTTTGAAGGTCCTTTTCCACTGCTTAAAGCTATATACTTTCGTCCGGCAATAAAAAAAATTATAAACTCTTAGTCGTATTTTGTATCGGATGTAAATTCAATGTTCTTCTTATGCTTCAATCGTTGTAGACTCGTCGCTTTTTGTCGTTGAAATTTGTTTCTCTATTTTTTTCTATTTTTTTTGCTTCTTGTTCACATGAAAAATCTGCAAATACAAAAAGAAAATATGAAAAAATTTGTCATCAGCTAGAGTTGTGTATAATTTTCATCCAAAACAAAGTTCACAATCCATTATCAAACACACATTATTTCCGTAATATTTTTTTTTTATTCTGAGTCAACGGTATGGAAACTGGAACGAGATACATAGTACATAGAGTATGCACATGCCATTTTTTGCATTCACAACACTTGTGCTCGACAAAAAAAAAGTCATATAGAGGCAGATGAGAGGAAATTTTGAAAAAGAATGAAGGAAATGTTTATGGATCAGGAAGAAGAGTCAGAGGAATTAAGTTGAAGTTATGCTCTTTATTTTTCATACATTTTCTTTTATCTTCTGTTCTAATTTCACTGATGCAACTCTATAGAATCTAATAATATCATCAACATCATCATTAGTCGAATGTTTATTTGTTTAAAAACCGCCATTCTATGCGGTGAGTTTATGTTGTAAGAGTTCATTGATCTCATTGCATTAACACAGAATCAATGCTTATTACAAACATTTATTACAATAGAACTAAGCATTCACAATTTATTCATTTATTTTAAGAGAAAAACGATATGCGTGATAGAATTTTAATTTTTAATGGATGTTAAGTAGTAGCGCATTCAAATCGATACTTCAAATAAATGATTATGAATCGAGTCTAAACACTCATTCCAGATATATTTTGCAAGGTTCATGAACTTGTAAATCAATTTTATGTTAACAAGCTATAAAAATAATTTTACAGCTCTCCGAAAACTCGAAGAAATTGAAGAAATTTATTCCAAATAGGTGAGCAATTAATTGCATTTATAGGACGTTATAAAATTCAAGTCAATAATCATAACTTTTCATATGGTTTCACTGAGAATTTTTAATAGCCTGAATCAGATCATATGAGTGGTATCTAATTTCTCTTGAGGCTTACATCTGTTTGGCATACAAGCTAGTTATCCGACAAAATGTAAAAATCAACACAAAAAATTTTTCCGCATGGTTTTATCTCAAAATGCATTTCATAGCAATTAAAATGTCTCGATTGCAATTTAAAATTCTATTAGTAATTTAATTACAACTTTACCACATCGCACTCTCCGCATCTATCGAGTATGTGTGTGGATTTATTTAGTGAATGAAAAGGCATTTTTAAAAAAATATCTACAAATTACAAGAATATTAAATACATTCCATAAGTTCCCACTTGAAGGCCATAATTGAATGACTGAGTTGCCATTCTCTCTCTCACTTATTCATAATGAAAGTGAAATGTAGAACACTCAATTCCACATATAGAATGTATAAATAAAAGCATTCAATTGATTGATTCTTAAGTCGCGGTCACGCGTGGGTGCATCACTAACATAGTTATTATAAATTTTCTGAAATGGATGAATGAATGAATGAGTGAAAACACATGTTACGATGTTGTTACTATAAAACGATTTAAAATGCATATTTTGTGAGAAATTCTGTGACGACAAGAAGGAAATCAAGTAAAATGAAGTTGCATCTGTTAAATCTTATTGTAACTTCAAGGCAAAATTGAATTTTTATGACTTATAAATATGAAAATATTATTTCCGCAGAAAATGATACTTAAAAAGAGAGAATCACTTGGCAGACATGACTTGATGCGAGAGAAGAAGAATATCATCATAAAAAATTATTTCTTTTCTAGCTGAAGAAGGAGGAAAAAGAAGAAAAATTTTATAGAAATTTATTGCAAAATTTTCATCTGAATGGAATAAAATCTCGCGAAATTGATCTATTGATGGAGAAAAAAAGAATGTTTTTTTTCATCATCACAAAATGGCATTAAGCGTCTTTAGACTTCTCTCACTCTCTTACACGTTTCCTTCTTATTTTTACACAGTAAAATATCAGCAGTAGCAAGCAACTCCTCATTCCATAATAGAAAAATATACAAGATTGCGATATAAAAAAGAAAAAGAAATATCCTTATGCTCAGCATAACATTCAGTAGCGTGGATGGTAAAAGAAGAAGAATAAAAAAAGAATCCAAAAAGCTCCCCAGAAAAATGCTCAACATGGAACTGTTTATATCTCAAAAATTGTATTGGAGAAAGGGAAGTTTGCTGAATGCTGCATGGCTCCCGTCAGACTGGCGACAACATTTCGCCAGGGCACGATTTTTGCTGATATTACCATCAAACACAAACGCAAAAATTTTCTCATTCTTTTATTTTCACCATAGATTCTTTTATAAATTTTTTTTGACACATTCATATACAGCTTCGAGATACTCCTTACACCTTACACATATTTTCTTTCTTTTTCGTAAATTGATTTTATTGTGATGTATGAAAATTGATTGTCGCTAAGATACAAGCTTATCTTAATGCATATCTATTATATTTCATATACTCAATGTCTCTATCTATTTTATTTTGTGGGATGTCATTTACTCGTCACTCGACAATTAGAAAGGAATTTCTCAAAAACAAAATATCTAGGTAACATCATGTCCATCATTGTTGTCATTATCATATCAAAGCTAATAGCAATATCATATCTCATTAACTCATCCTTTCAATCTAGCGATTGTATTACAGTGAGTAGAGATTGCTCTACCGTATTTAATTTTATCATCATTCATTGTCATTAATAGAAAAAGCTAATTAAATAAAGAAGCATCATAAATTGGTAACAACACAAACTCTATCGTTCACAGATAAGTGTTATGGGATTGTTATGCAGATATTTTCTCATCAGATGCATTGAAAAATTATCAAAAGCAGTAATGTTGATGTCTCTTCGTAATTAAAGCTCTTTCTGGAGTAAATGAATACGACAGTAAAGTAAAAACTCATCATGGATAAAAAAAAATAGTACAAAAAGTATGAAAAAGTTTGAATATTTTTTTTTTATTTTTCAACGTCAGATGACTGAGAAAGAACCGGAAGTGTGAGTTGAATAAAGGGAACGATAGAAAAGTTTTCTTTGAGCTTTTTTTCAGTGTTTTTTATAAAAAAAAAGTTATGAAAAGCGATAAAACTTTTTCTCATGATCTGCAGTATCAGAACCAAACATTGTCTTTGGAGTGCTCTCATTCATCAGAACCTTTTTCCTTCTTTTTGTTTGGTTTGGTAATTTATGAATAAAAAGAAAGAAAGATCAACATAAAGCTTCAATAGCTTTATGGTTGGTCACGTTGTCTGATCATTAATTTAATTGGTGGTATGAAGGAAAATTCTTTTGGATTTAAATGATTATTCATATTCTTCACTCTACTGATGGCATTAATTTCATGTTGGGTGGATGGATTAAATCCTTTTTTTTTTCATTTGGGACAGATTTTTTTCTAGAGAACGCCGTGTAATCGTTTCGTAATTATTATGAAAACTGTGTCAATTGCTATGTAAGAGTGACTTCTTTTGTCTTCTTTTAAGTGGAAGTTAAGAACTTTAAGTAAGGCAATGGTTCAGACCATAGAAGGTTAACAATGACTTCATAAAAATTTAATTTGGCTAGTTAAAAGTTAATGACCTTTCTCTAATTCTTAAAGTTTAAGAAGCCATGGTCAAAATAATATACTTTTTCTTAATAATCAGTTACATAATAATTTGGCCATTTGGTAATTACAAAAAACAACAATGTTGCGTAATTATGACATTTAAAAAGTTTAGAAGATTAGAAGTCTTTAGGATTTCTTCTTAAAAGACTTAGAAGTCTTAAGTTTACTTCAAAAACAAAAGATGACATAACCGGACAAAACAATTCAAAAGACAATAGTCTTGATTTTTTAAAATCTGGTTGCGTAAAGTCTGGTCATTCTGTGGGCACTAAAATTTAAATAGTAATTCATTGTAAAATTTCTTTTTTCCTTTAAAAAGTTCTTGAACTTAAATGAAGACTAAAAAAGTGTGTTTCAATTGAAAATATAAACAAACTTATCATTTCTACAACTTCTTCTCAATAAAAATTTTACTTAACAAACTTTAATGCGAAGACTAAGATTTCATTTCAAACTCTCAAAACAAAGAACAAGTTTACATTCTCTTTAGCAAAATAACAAAGTAAAGTTCATTTCTAAATTGAAAATATATTTTGTAGATTTGAGAATGGAAGGGAATAAAAAGGATGGAAAGAAATGTTTTCAAGAAATAAAATTTCAATAAATGAGAGAAGCTCAATGTGGAATTAAAACCAGTTTGTGTCTTTTAAGAAAACCATAAGCTCATTAATTAAGAAATTAATGCCATGCAAATCCCGTTTTGTATCTCAACAAAAATAATTTTCATTTTCATGTCTCTTTTATGTTATTTTGCATAAAACTAGTCGAATACAAAGAGCTTTTTGTGTCGTAAAATTTCAACTACTTTTAAACTGATTCATCCTTCATTTCCGAATTATTAAGTTTAACTAATTACATTGTTATTCATTTTGTATGAAGAAAAAAAATAGTTGAAATTGACTTAATTTATATAACAAAATATGGAATAATTGATGTCTTTTGAAACTTATTTTTTTATTTGTAAGTGGATTTCACTCGAGACAAGCCGATTGCACTTTTCTTTTTTGTTTAAATATTTTCCTCCGTCTCGGCATTCGCAAAACAAATTATTTACACTTTGAGCGCACAAATAATAAATTAGCACACAAACCTTACGGATTCATTCGAACGTTTTACGTTTATTTCCCACGTAAATGAGTCAGATCCGAAAAATCAGATGGTGAAGCGTCGTGTGCCAGGTAAGATTTTCTAAAAATAACTCATCTTTTAAATATCCGAAGAGAATTATACTTTGTGCTTCTTGCACGTCAAATCAAAGTGAGTAATCAGTCAAGAAATGAAATTGAATTTCTCTTTAAATAATCTGTATTTCCCCTCCGATGAGAAAAGGGTTGAAGTTCAATAAACTTCTTACTTTTATGTCGGAATTAGAAAGTGTAAAAAGAGATGAGCTTAAAACCCAGATTGAATTTATAAAAAAAAAACATGCCGAAAATTGCTTTTAAATTTAGATTAATTT